GGGAGCCTCGACAAAGATGGAATAGAAGACAGTATCGTCGGGCCCTGAGAGCGTTAAGTGGCAAGCGTACTACGACGTTTCAAGTTGATCAACAGTCACATTCAAGACGGATCACGGAACCTTTTACCACTCACCGCTTTACGGCAATACGACCTTTCTTTTCGGGAACTATTTGTTTACTTTCTGCCTGCCGTGGGTCGCCACAGTCTATACCGCAACTACTAGGTTCTATTCTACGGAGTACGGGTCCAGCCTTTTACTTTGCATCCTCTGTTAGCGATGAACAGCATGCGTGTATGGATACAGGCAGCAGTGTCGTTCCAAAGCCAAGAATACGACCAAGACATCTTGTTCATTGCTGCATGTACTCGCTTGCAGCTGGCCATGGTGCTTAACCAGTGGCGGATATACCACTCACAATCTCGACAGGACCCCTGTTGCTACCTACCGCTGTGTAGTCGAAGCATGGCAGGTCTTTCGAAGCATCGCCATCAACTCACGACCAATCGCAATGTTTTCTGTAAGCAATCGATCTTTTGTGCATACTGGAACCAGCAGACTTGGCAATCACGACTTTGAAGGGCTATAACTCATGTGCTCTATAGCTCTAGGCCCAGGCACTGTAGTCTATACCCAGGCGCAGAGAAGTATGATGATGGACTTGCCAGGTTGCGAACTTGACGTACCCGGATCACAGGCATGGATAATAGGACATTAGGCGAAATCGAAATAAACCTCTGGCATGAATCTTGACCGGCTCTACGGAGTACGCTGCATTGTAGAGTACCATCGTACGCTTTGACGCCGAAAGTTGGCGGCAGCTAATCTGAATGGGCCCAAGTTTGATGTTGGACTCGCTTGAATGCCGAATCTGAGGGGTGCTGTCACTACGCCATTAGGCCATATGCGCCCAAGCCTAAGGCCCATCCTTGACCCTTTATCAGATCAAGTCACATAGAGTATGGGGTATAGAGGTGGCACTATACTATTCCGTGCCGGGGCTGGGAGATTACAGGGGTTGTTAAAGCATTTTAGAAACAGCGATATGATCGACGGGCACGCAAAAGGACCACCATGACTGGCGATTCCGAGCCTATCAGGGATTATAGTAAAGTTTTGTGTCCGGTCATATTCAGGACCAAGGTTCTTGGTGTGACGGAGGGCCCGAGAATTCCGACATGATTTCCAGGCTCAAAAACGGAAAATCCTGTTCTGGCAGTTGACATTGGCGAGTTGCAACTTGGTGTAGCTACACCTGGCTGGGCTGCCTCGAGGCTCGAGAACCCTCAGCCTCCTCCACGGCGTCAATATTCATGCAAACCGTCAGCAAGAGAGGCGAGCAATATAGCAATAGGGTGTTGAGCTGATGCTGCTGATGGATGGCTTGGGTAGGTTTAGGGTTGACTTTATTCTTGATATAGACAATGTCCGATGTTGAATCCGGTCGAGATGATCCTATTGTGAGCGAGTGACCACGGCTTTACGCGCCGATCGACCGTTGTATGCTTAATAGAAGGTTGAAGAAGACGAGGCAAGCGATACAACGGCCACTCGGGTGGCGCTTCAGGTCCGGAGTGATGCTGTGCTGTGCTGTGCATGCAGTGCATCGCGGTCAATGAATGAATGAACGGGGTTCCTGAGGCTATTCGAATGATCCGTCGCGTCCAGACCCATCCGCCCAGATGCTACTGGCTGCATCGCAGCGAGGCCGAGGCATCCAGTCACTGGACTGGATTGGACTGGGCTGGACTGGGGACTGGGGACTGGGGACTGGGGACTGGAGTCTTGGGTACAGACACACTGGTTGAGTACATTATTGCTGATGCGATGCTATGCCTGCCGAAGTGTTCCGATGGACAACTCACGTGGAAAACAAGGTCGGTAAAGAAGGCCGGGTTTGTTCAGAAGTGGATGGATCTTGGCACCGGGGCCCCAGGCCAGGTACAGTTCATCATACGTACTATACAGTACTGTAGATAGGTAGATAGTGGAGGTATGTATTGTTATGGAGAGAAGAGCGTGGAGTCGTGACAACCTACTAAGAGAACTGTATCCGTACAGCCAACCAAGATGAGATAGGTCGGGTCGGCCTATTATCCAGCCGGCCACCTTCCCTAGTCGGTAACCAGGGGCCGATACAAATACAGTAGTTGAAGTTGGAGGAGAAAACCCGGGGTGCAGATCCTGGAGGTAATTCATTGATTGATATCCAATCCATGGTGGCATACACATACACATACAGTACTGTAACAGTGACAATAATACTACAAGGTATCCATCCGTACGTACAGTAGGGCATGACATGGCATCGCATGGCATGGCATGGTACGGGCCGAGAATCCCAAATCCTTGACTGCAAGGCCCCAGATTTACTTAACCAGAGTTCTGTGAGTGGTATGTGAAAAGTCCCCGATGGGTCGATTGATTGATCACACGCGCCCACACATCCTCGGAGTTTGTCCTGTCCATGTGAGGTGAGGTGAGGTAAGGTAGTTGAAGTTGGTGGTGGTTTGGATTTCAGGTTACCCACCTAGTATTCGTATGGGCTTTGCGCGGGAAAAGAAAGAAAAAGTAAAAAGTAAAAAGAATGAAAGTCAATTACTAAGGTAGGACTAAGTCAATGAGGAGGCGAGTGGTAACATCGGATGAATAGGTAGGTAGCTGCATGATATGATATGGGATTAATATAGTTTAGCGCTTGACGGAAAATAATTTGACTGAGGGCGGAATTAATTGCAATCAACTAACATTGATCAAGATGGTGGTGGTGATGTTTTGGTACCTACTAAGGTAAGTACAGTAAGTAGAGAGATCTCTTATATGACCGACCGACTTGCTGGATTTTCCATCTCGCTTCTCAACCAACACGCGCCTCAATCCTACAGTCTAGTCTGATCAATCAATTCCTCTAAATCGGTCGATAAAGAACTATCTGTTGGTTCATCCTGTTGTCTCATTTAGACTCAAATCTATCCGTAAATCTCTGGACTATCTATGTATGTACCCCGAGAAATGCCAACTTAACCATAAAATTGACCCAAGTCCAAAAAGGGAAGCTTGAGATGTGGTTCCTGGATAAATGCAAATCGACAGGGGTTTCGGGCATGGATTGACCGTGATAGGGTCAACTTGGGCGGCTCGAATGCAGTGCCAATGCAAGGTAGGCAGTCTAATGCACATGGACCATGTAACACAACACAGGATAAGTTGAATGGATCTAAACCCTTTTACTCCTTCATCTCGTGGCCTACTGTACATGTACACTAAGGTTGGCTGCCCTGCCCTGCCCCTTAAGCCACCCGTCCATTGCGTCCCAATCATGAACATGGAGAGGCAAATGACGATGTTACACCTTCGGAAATAAGGGAACAACCGCACGCCGAGGTTCTACAGAGATCCATTCATCCTTGGCTTTGGCTTTGGCTTTGGCTTTGGCTTTGACTTTGACTTTACTCTGTTCTGTTCTTGGCCCAAAACCTCGCCTAAGCCTAAGGAAGGCCTCGCCTTTGCTTTCTTGTCAATGTCATCCATCCCATCCCTCCATCATTCGACTGCCGTGAAAGCTTCGGGCCGCCAAATCCAATATGCCCGTCATTAAGGACTGGGTTAAATCGGATCCGGATATGAGAGGATTACGGCGGATGATTTGGGCTGGTCGAGACTCAAATCTGATACTCAGAACTGGAGATGTTTAATGAAGCATCACCTCACCTCATTTCGACTCTGAGCTCTCTCTGTATAGGTATCCGTACGGATACAGTATCTAGGATTCCTTAGACTACTATGGTAACCTGATAGGTATACCGGCTAGACTAGGCTAGGCTGCGAGGCCAGCACCAAGCTTGTTCTTGATACTGTAGCAATATTCGCAAAGGCTTTGACCGGTTCGGTCTGCCTCTCTCTTTCTGTCTTGTGTAATTAGCCTCGGGTACCGCAGACGAAATGACTCGCAGAAACTGATCTGTCGTGGAGGTGGCCAAGCAGATCACGTCCCTTGTCGAACAAATACTCTCTGCAAGAATTTCCCAATGGGTCGCCATGCCCGAAGCTCGAGTGAGTATCTTCAACACCAAGATTCAAGGACCCTGAGTTTAACCTGCTTTAATTTCACATCCCATAGCCACCCACTACCATCCATTACCGCCCCCTCTTTCTCCGGCAGAGTACATACAGGTTCTCGTGGCTCGTGGCTCATAGCTCGTGGTCCATGCCATCCCATATTATGCTAGGTCGAGGTAGGTACGTAGGTATGCATGCTATGTGACGCTACCCCATACGCTCTGGATCTTCACCTTCATGGGTTCGTGCAAGGATATACTTCATCCCACCAATTAGGAAGCTCCCCTCCTGTTCCCCACGATCCATTCGTAGTGTCTGTTCCTTTCTCCGCATTATTCTGTACACCGGACAAGGGGTTGGGGGGTGGCGTCTTGCTCTGTTCTGTCCTGGCCTGTCTAGTCTAATGGGGATGGGGATGAATGGGCGTAACATCGTCGCTGCTACTGTACTTGGCACGTCTACTTGGTCAAGACTGTCAGTACTTAAGTATGTCGTCCAGCCTTATACATATTTCCATTGGGGGCCCTTTCCATTTCGTGGCTTGCACAACAGAACACAAAGAGGATCATCTTCCTGACTAGCCTAGCGCAGACCATTACCTCCTTGTCAACTCAACTTGATCATGTCTCCTTCAAGTACCAAGGTTGCCTCTGGTGGCTCCTTTCACACTTGTAAGCCGTCCTCAACTCATCTCAGATGCTTCACCATCATGGCTTCTCGGTCTAATACCATCTCCAGTCCAGGGAATTATACCAAAAAAGCAGCCAACTGCTTCCAGCAATGCAAGGCCCAGGGTCGCGGGCACACGGCGCATAACAACTCCCCATGCTTGTACCGAGTGTAAACGAAGAAAGATCCGCTGCGATGGCAAGCTACCATGTGGCCAATGCATCACAAGCCGAGCCCCAAAGAATTGCTCTTACGATAAACACCGTCAACGAATGATTCCATCTAGAAAGTAAGTGATGTGTCAATCCATTGAGTTGAATTGCCCAGACTAACCTTGGCTGTTCCCAGGGCTCTGGATAGCCTGGCACAATCTCTCGAGGAGTGTCGTTCGGTCCTTCGGCGGCTCTACCCAAATCATGACGTTTCTGCACTTCGCTCCCTGGACAAGCAGGAGCTGATCAACCTCTTGGCTCAATCACAATGTGCTTCGTTGAGCGACCCTCTTCCATCACCACCTCTCGAATCGTCATTCCCCAAGAGTGGCACACCCATGATGGGATCCGACTCCCTCTTGGAACTGCAGACATCTCTGGAAGCTGATCTAGACTCGCTCATTGGTGAGCTCGAGTTCGAGGTTCCATCAGAGCAAAGAGAAGCCAACGAGGAAGCAAATTACCTCACACAACAATCTTGGTGGGACTTTGGCTCAAGACAATGGAGCTCAGTATCTGTACCGCACATGATGGAGGGTCAACCTTACGGGCATGATATGGTGACTCCCGGGCAGCACTCGATGTATGAGGAGTCGCGTGCCATTTACGGCTCACTGGAGATGAGGTGAAATGTGATGATATCCATATCCATATCCATATCCATGGAATGAGATGAGATGATATGATATGACGAAAACGGGGTATTGCGCGGTGTACTTTTACAATACATGCGATTCCCAGCTCTAAAGAGCTATATAGGGGCATCATGTACATGCACCCTGGGGACGCAGGTCGTCCTCTTTAGGTAGCCGGATCACAGCTTACGACAATCATATGAGGCCACGACGATTTATCTTCTACAGTAACTTTCAATAACAAAGTACATATTCACACTTAAGTGCCTGCCTAGGTACCTATCTTATAAAAGACTGCCTTGCTGAGCTCAAATGTCTATTTTATTTATTTATTATCCTTCCTGGATAGTACCTGGCTAGTACCTTCATTGGTAGGTATATTCTCTTCAAGGGTGGTCAATGTCAAACCTCCACTAGTACCTACCTATATTCTACATTTGGAAGGCACGACTACCATGCTACTTCCACCTACATGATGCAAGCGACTAGATCTACCAGGCGCTTACTGCAGGTAGGTGCTTAGGCGGGTACGTAATCCCTGGACTTCTCTCCTTCTTTACTTCAACACTTCCAACCCTTCAACTCCTTCACATAAACTCCGTCTTCGAGTGCGCTGCTCATTTCGCCAGGCTGAGAATGGAACACGCACTTACTTGTAACAATCTCAAGTGTCGGAGAGAACTTAGCGACCGTGCTCTGGTAACGACATGCAGGTATGCATGTTTCGTACAAGTCAGCAAACCACTGACATCAGACAATCAGTCATATATTCTGCGTAGAATGTGCCCAACAACTCGGTGTAACAGGACAAGACGCCGAGCGCCGCAATACATGTCCTGCCTGCGAATCGCAACTCACCAAGCCTGACGACGCCGTCATCACGAACCTGAATCCGAGCGAAGACTACAAGACCAGTGTTCTCAGTGGCTTAAGTCCCAACGTCATCATGGAGTGTGCCGGTCGAGCTCTTAGCTTCTGGGCCTACCAGACCGCGCAAAACATCTATTACCAGCAGTATTTATACAGGACACTCACCGACAAGTACTCGAACCTTGGTATCCGTCTCGAAAAGACTGTAAGCGATGCAACCACAGAGATTGAAGGGCTTCAGCACAAGATGTCAAGTTAGTGCTCTCTCACACCCTACAGCAAGTACATTGTACTTACAAACAGCAGGCCTAGCGGCAGAGCAGGAAAGTTTGCGGCGAAAGCACGAGGAAGTTTCTCAAGCATACAAGGAGAAAAGTCGTAAAGTTCTACAATTACAGGAGCTATATGACAAAGTCAAACGGAGGGCCGAGCTTGGCCAGATTCAGAAGGCTGCCTCCGATGCTGTAGATCATACCTTGCAGGCAACGCAGCTCGATCAGGGCTACGCTGGTAATATGACAGCCCCAAACAATGTCGAGAATAACCATACCCTGGCATTTGGGCAAAACCACCGGATTGACATCTCTGGGATGAATACAGCTGCCGCACGAAACTATCCGAATGTGGGAAGAGAAGGAACTCAATGGTCGCGACTTGGAGGATCGGTGCATCGTGAGTCCCATACCAATCTAGTTGAATAAAACTGACCAGGGAAAGGGGACACCGCTGGGCCATCTATCGGCGGACTTCGACGAGCAGGCATCGGCGCATCAACGTCACAGCAAGGCACAATTCTACCGACTCTGACAGGCGCACCTATATCGGGGTTTGGTGGAGCGAGGCAGCCACCGAAGAGTTTTGCTCCCAGTTTCATCAATCATCGTGGTAACCTGGCCGGTGTCGGCTTGACATCTGGTATCAAAGTCAGCCAAGCGAACAATGCACCAACCTTGGATGTTCCAACGAGACACATGTAAAGGGGCAGTAGAGACGTTTATTAAGCTTTGTTCTACTTGACAATCACTTTGTGTATTTCTTTAACCATTGGCAGTCGCCAAAATAGTTATTAAGGATATCAAAGACTTAAACGTGAACAAGGTAAACCCCCCTTTTAACAATGAGCTGACCGTGTATCACTCTTGCTTTGTTCAAACCAAATTCCTAGGCTCAAAGAAGCGTGTATCAATAACACAGCATATGTTCCTCTTGATCCTATCAATGGCCAAACAAGGGTAGGTGGTATAAACCAAGATTGGTTTCGACGTCATTTAGCTTTATTGTCGACACATATTCATTTTCCTGTCTTGTCAAACGTTAACATGCGACAGAGCTATAGCGATATATCAGGAGCGCAAACCCAGCTGGCACTGGAAGCGGCTGTCCAGTCGTCGTCATCGTCGTTCTTTAGCAATAGCTTCTCAAGACATTTCATTAAATCCTTTGATAAGCCCGGAGCGATAGTTGCGCTTATCACGAAGGAAGCCAGTAAGCAGAAACTGAAAAGACTGAAAAGCATGGGAGCGCGCAAAAAGTCGGATTTGCGGGCACCATCCAAGGCCCGAAAAACGAAGAGCCAGCGTCAATGGCAGCCTATTATCTCGGCTCCGATCACAGAATTTCGACAACATCTACCAGCATATCATCATGGACCGATGTTTGAGAATCGGCAGTCATTCCCTCGGCCATTGATTCAGCACAACAAGCTCGCCAAACGATACGAAGCATTAGGGTCGCATCCGATTCATGGTTCTCGCGAGAGCTGGCACACCGGCGATGATGGCGCGTCTTGCGATGCCAATCTGTCGGTCAGGGAGGTGCCACAGCACTTGTTATCGCACCAAGACGGAACCAGGGGAGAACGGCGAGGCCTTCGGGACACAATCAAATCCCGACAAACCACATGGCGCACCAGACACTTCTTCCACCTCCACGGTCCCAGTCAATAAGACACAAGACGAGGAAGCCCGACGGGTCAGGAGTGCATCAAAGTTGAGCGAAGGGGAAAGCAAGACAGTGGCAGCAGCCGTCATCGATCTAGAACTCCATATCAATGAGGTCAAAGACGCCACAAAGATGTGTTTCCATCAAGCTTATGATTGGGAGGTCTGGAGTCCAATTCCCTATGACCTTGATTCGTTGTCGGGAGTGATCAAAGGCCTTCAAATGGTTATGATTTGGATGCAGCAGCGCATTCAGGTATATGAGACTCAATACCCTGATCTTCGAGAGCAGTACGATACTGAGAGGGGATTATCTAGGTAAGGAACGTTCTCAATGTCTAGGAAGGTCGATGCATTTAGTGATTCATTCGTTTGTAGGACTAGGTAGAGAAACTCGTATTGACCATATTGCGAAACAGAAGTGATTTTCAGGAAACTTTGAGATTGGTGGTGTATGTACTACGATAACTGAGACACCTTAATTAACATCAATATCCATGTGCGGGAACGCTCCCAGCTCATCCCTGTTCGAGATCATCTTCGTATCAAACTACAGTATCGTATCGTGGCATCTAAGAATAGAACGTCAGTAAGTATCCACGTGACATGTTGGAATCATGATAATTGGTATCTGGTAGGATTTAGGCCGCGTATGCACTTGTGACGCCACTTGACGTTCTATGGACCAATTGTCTGGCTTAAGTACCTATCCGTAGGTACGGATTGTTTATCATTCTGACCTTCTATCCACTCTTATCAACTCCCTTATCGTAGCAGATTCCCACCTCTTCAATCATCAGTTGTACAGTAATACCACGCGGCGCGCAATAGTCATCCATTCGACGACATTCAACCCACTTAGATCCTTGTCCATCTCCATTCTCGCTAACCTTCTTTTATTATCCGTCCTTATCATCATTAGCGCTGGAATCCTGCTTCTTGACGACTCTTGTTTCCAATTTCAAACCTCTCAATCTTCGCTCGCTTACGCATCCGGACGATGCTCGACATTCGCTTTACCTGATCCTGAGTCTTACCGCGACTGAATCGAATACGATCCGCTTTCCGAAACTGCCGTCACCGTTGAGATTTGTACAATATACGATTCGAATCCCCAGCGATCCCAAGAGAAACGTTCCGTCCAATATTCATCGCGCCACGCCGTAACGAGAGACAGGTTGGCATCGCACATCCAATTCATCTGGCCTGGCAGCTACCTTCACGCTCGTTACAATTGGCACTCCCGCCCAGTAGTCCGCCCTGATGGGTAAATCATGTCGGTATTCATCTCCTGATGACGATCCTGTTAGCTGATGGTTATACTGCATAGCGCAATACGGCGTTATCCTTGACGCCGGTTCCTCTGGAACCCGAGTGTATGTTTACAAATGGAAGAACCATGCCAAAGCCGTCAAGGGGGCATCCGCTGTTGAGCTCAAGTCTCTCCCCAAGATTAAGCTCAAGGAAAACAAAAAGATACATCCTGGTGTCTCTAGCTTTGCCGAAAACCCGTCTCAGATTGGACCCGACCATCTACAACAACTGATCGACATTGCCCTCGATGAAGTACCAGATAGCAAGATATCCGAGACGCCTGTGTACCTTATGGCGACGGCTGGTATGCGCCTACTACCCAAACCCCAGCAATCTGCACTTCTAAAGTCGATGTGCACTTACTTACAAACGACTACGAAATTCATCCTTCCCGATTGCGATGCTCATATACAAGTCATTTCCGGAGAAACAGAGGGTTTATACGGCTGGATTGCAGCAAATTATCTGCTGGGTGGTTTCGATCATCCTGAGGAACACGACCACGGCAAAAATCACCACACATACGGTTTCCTGGATATGGGTGGCGCATCCGCACAGATTGCCTTTGCCCCGAACGCTACCGAATCTGCAAAACATGCCGATGACCTGAAGCTGGTGCGCATGCGAACGCTTGATGGATCCCCTGCTGAGTACAAAGTTTTCACCGCGACCTGGCTCGGGTTTGGTGCCAATCAAGCTCGCAGCCGTTACGTAGAACGTCTACAGGAACACTACAACACTGACGCTACCCATGAACTACCTGACCCTTGTATGCCCAATGGCTTGCGAACCACTCTCGATGGCGAACTTGTCCAAGGGACATCCGACAAGACTATATTGGCTGGCACAGGAAAGTTTGACGAATGCTTGACTGTGACGTATCCTCTTCTGGGCAAGGATAAACCTTGTGAAGATCAGCCATGTCTTGTCAACGGCCAGCATGTGCCTGGCATCGACTTTGATATCAACCATTTTGTTGGGGTTTCTGAATATTGGCATACAACACATGGCGTTTTTGGAAAGAAGCATAAAGCATACGACTTGGCAACGTATCAGAACAACGTCATGGAATATTGCAGTCGCAATTGGTCGGACATTGAGAGCGATCTGGACAAACGCAAGAAATCGCCCGAGAAGAAGGCAGAAGAGGCGCGTTTGGCCTGCTTCAAGGCGTCGTGGCTCATCAACATGCTCTACGATGGCATTGGCATTCCCCGAGTTGGACTTGAAGGAGGGGCATCCAACGACACGGCAAAGGATGAGGGAGAGAAGTCGTTCAACGACCCTTTCAAACCTGTGGACACTATTGATGGTATCGAACTGAGTTGGACATTGGGTAAAATCGTCCTCTACGCCGCTGGACAGGTTCCTCCTTCGAGCTCCGAACTACCTGTTGGCTTTGGTAGCAACGTCGAAAAGGGAGTAGCGGAAGACTTTCAGCACGCCGGCTCCTCGCCTATTTCTCCTCATACCGGGATAGATGATGACGATGACAATGATCTGGAAGATATTCTCAAGAAGCCCGGAAAGTCCACCGGTGGTGTCATAGCCTTCATTGTCATACTGTTACTCGCAGCTTATTTCCTCCGTAAACCTGAGCGGAGGAGGAAAGTATTTGGTATGGTAAACCGTCGCAGACGCTCGGGGAAACAAGGACGTGGCTCCTCCTTGGTCAGCAAAATTTTCGGTCGTCGGTCTGGGCCATCATATGAAAGAGTTATGGAGGAGGGTGACTTTGCCGATTTTGAGCTGGGTGAGGTCGACTCGGATGATAACGACCCATCGGATAGCAGTAGTAATGGATCACGAAAGGGGCGAACATCGGGTCTGGCAGCGCACAGTCTTTCTGCAGGCCGCGCTGACGAGCTTACTCGGCCGCCTTCAGCAATGGACCGTGCTGGGCTCGTGGTGCGAACAGAAAGTCGAGAACGTCTATCGCCTTCGTTGTTGAGCGCTGGTCGAAAGAGTCGCAACGGGAGCCCAACGCGTGCCAAGAGCCCTTTCATGACACCTGTGCAGGAAGATTAATAGCCCTTTGATGGATGGGGCCTTGGCTGGGCTGCTTCGATGCAATGACTGCATACTGGAGAGGGGACTGTTTCGAATTATCATTGGCGTTTAGGGGACTTGGCAAAGCTGGTGCAGCAGGATTATTTTGGCGTTCAAAAGAACGCATATACCACGAAACATCTGATAAGCGTTGTGAAAATGTGTCTGATGTCGATATTGTAAGACAGGCGGTACGATTAGAGTGCTTTGAATATTGTACCCGTATTTAGTTTACTCAGAGGTGCAGCAGAAGTTATTTACAGTGTTCGTTTTGAGATATTTCATATATTCGCTTGGCTTGCAATCGATGGCAGTCTCTCGCAGTTGCTCTAAACATGACGCCCGCATACCTTTGGCTCCAAAAACCCAATCACCAATATCATCACAACCGACCACACATAAGCCCTTTGCGCAGATGTCTCTAGATTACGCAGCGATTCCCTTCTCATCTTCCACTGCTCGCCTATCGCAAAGCGGACATAGACTAATCTGACTGTTTCTCGAGAAAACTAGGATCTGCTCGGACTCTTGACTCGAACTTGCGCCACCAGTTCTCGAAGGCCTTAAGCGGCACGACCTCTACACCACCGGGTCCTGCGGTACCGCTAAAGCTTGACAGGAAGTTGAAAGCATTTTGAATGATACGCTGCGCCAAAATAGCAGTACTAGGCTGGCTGCTTGATGAGTTCCCAGATTTGCTGGCAGCAAGTTCCTGCAACCGCTGGCCGACGGACTCCTCGGGCTCAACCGATACTCCAATCACCAGTTCACTGGCTTCACCTCCACCACTGACCTTGAACATGGCACTCTCTTTTCCTGGGCCGATGCCGCCGAGGAAGCGAAAATTGGGTGTGCCGCCTGCTTGAGCAGCAGCAGCGACGTCGGCAGCGGTGGCGAGATAAATTGCTGCGGCAGTATTCGGCGGCAGTGTGATGCCGGGTAGCATGAATACGACGATATGAGAAAATGGTTTTGAAGTAGGTAGAGCATAGAGTAATGAGGTAGGGGAGGGGGTTGAAGAAGGCTCCGTGATTAATGATTGGCCAGCGGGGACAATACCGAATAGTGGACTCGACATGATGAATGTTTGTTATTTAGAGAGAATTTCCAGCTGTGATGCGAATGATTTGATTTGATTTGATTTCCCTGGTAGTCTTCTTAGTCTTGGTCGCGGTGAGCTTCCATATAACAGGCGTTGGTGTTGAGTTTGTTAGCCTTTGTCGATTCTTTTGTTGGTGGTGTGAAACGATTGGTGGACGTTTCGAGGTGAATCTAGAAGGAAGTGGAATAGGACCCTAATAAAATCCATAATCCACCCTGGTCAACAGTGACCTCATACCCAAGTCCACTAATAGGCACAGATGTAGGGTAAGGTCAGGAATATTCAACCATTATTGAGTTTCCCAATCGGACACTTCAAAAACTCCCTGTGTTACCGCAGGTATGTTAGTGGGTAGTGTATCTGTATACAGTGATACTCTAGAAGAAATGGGACGTTTATATGTTCTATAGAAATTTTACTTTTATATGGGTATCTTTGACATGTAAGTGACCCTTGACTTGACCAGGCTACTTACTAACTTAACTTACTTACTTAGCTCACACTCACCGAGATCGAACGTAGAGCATTCAACCCGTGGAAGCAGAAATTCAACGTCACCCAGAATAATTCATCTACAGTTTATAAAAAGACGACTACTATATCAGCAATTATCGGCTCGTAAAGAGGCTCAGCTTAGCAGAGTTGAGACATATTCTGCCTCATAGTCTGACTACTGAAGGATAATACAACAAAAGCCCGCAAATTTTCCAGCCTTATATACATCCTCGACGTTGATTACCGCAATCGGCGATAACCTTGTCATACACAGGGAAGCTTGACACTTGCTCCTATCAGCAAGACGAAACTGGAACGGGACTCCCAGTCATAGCCTGTTGATCAAGATGGCGAAAACGAGCATCGATCTTATCGATGAAGTCGATATGTACGAATCCAAGCCCATGTTTTTCTGAGGTGCAATAGTAGCTCACACATCAAGGTTTCCTTATGCCGAGACAGACTCTGCTGCCTTCAAAAGCATGAAAGCAGGTCTGTACACTCTAACATGGGAAGATAGTCAGGGGATATATCCTATTGGCTACGTTCTGGATCGCGTTGTCAAAGAACTCCATCGAGTACCTGAGGATGTCAGAGGAAAAATGGTATGCGACGAAGCAGAAAGAACTGTCGCGCTGTTTCAGGAGCCAACGGAAGAGGAGCGTACTCGCCGTGTCGCGGCCCTGGCTGATTATTGGCGTCAGAAGGGAACGTTCCCCCTTCTCCGTGGTTGGCGGAACGAGCTGTGGCCGGTTTATGGACGAACCGGGGAGCTTCTGTTCAGCATGGAGCGAGCAGCAATGGGCCTGATCGGTACAATGCGCTACGGCGTCCACATGGTCGCCTATGTCAAGGATGACACTGCACCTTACGGAGTCCGTCTTTGGGTACCTACACGCGCTCGGAACAAGTCAACTTTCCCCGGCATGCTAGATAACACTGTGGCGGGCGGTTTAATGACAGGGGAGGACCCGTTCGAATGTGTTATCCGAGAGGCCGATGAAGAGGCTAGTCTTCCTGAAAGCACTGTCCGCCAGAATGCCAAATTTGTTGGCAACGTCACATACATCTATATCACAGACGAAGGGCAGGTCGGCGAGGGTGGCTTTATTTACCCTGAGTGCCAATGGGTCTATCATCTCGAGCTCTCCAACGATGTCATCCCTCAACCAAAAGACGGCGAAGCTGAAAGGTTCGACCTGTGCGATGTCGATCAAGTCAAAACAGACCTTGCTGGGGGACGCTTCAAACCGAACTGCGCCCTTGTCACGCTTGACTTTTTCATTCGCCATGGCATCCTTACTGACGAAAACGAGCCCGAGATCGAACAGATTAAACGGAGAGTGCGCCGCGATATTCCGTTTCCAGGTCCGCATCAGAGCAACTGGCGTCCACTATGAGTCTGAAACTGGAGAGATCGAGGCACTTTAAAATTTGTTGGACGCAAGACGGTGGTTTTGGTTCGGGTATCATTGACATGTCCTAGATCTAGCGGGGATGCAGAAGCCCGCGGTGGCGTTGATGAGCTACGGCCTAGATAAATGTATCATGTGCGCTTCGCTTTATTTCTTAACAAGAAGGTAGACATTGTCGACGCGCAGAGGAGTCAACTTCTTGACAGGGCCCTGGAGGGACATGAGGAGACCGCCGAAGGATACGTAGGCGTTGCTGTAGGTCAAGATCAGTCAGCACATTCAGCTCGTAGTATGGCGTAGGTAGGTATCTTGATATCGGGATGTGAACGCACATAGTGTTTCCGTCGTATGTCTCTTCGAACTTGTAAATCTTGCCGTGGCACACGTAGTCGTAGAGGTCGGCAATCGTGGCTGGCGCATCACCGCCTTTGCCGACGTCCCGCCAGCCCTTTTCTTCCTCCTTACTTCCATCGAGAGACAGCGTTGTGGTCAGAACAACGTGCAGAGAGTCGGAAACAGCACAGGGAAAGAGCTCGATGTTGATATCGAGCGTCATGACGGTTTGTGAGTCGCTCGACGTGCACGAGATGCGTGCGACACGGTCATACTTGGACTGATCGTACTCGGTCACGGTGAAAGACTCCTCAAAGAGGGTGGCATCTCCGCTGGCCATTTTGACAGATTTAGACTGTAAGAAAGGAGGAGGTTGCGCAAATGTTTCTAGCTCTTGGTGGAAAAGAGATAGCCAGCGAGCGTGAAATTCAGCAGCAGCTATTAGTTAGATAGTAAGGTAGTTGCCGTTGGTTTGTCGCGAGCATGGAAGAGAAAATGTTTGGATACCTACGGCCCGGAAAAAGTTGGTGGGGTTAAATGGAATTGGTGGGTCCCTGCCACACACAGGTCTTCCATATGTTAGTAGGTACCCAATGTACTAGTCTACCTAGTCTACTGTGCAAGCTCCAACATCTTGAATATTTCCTCTACTTTTTCAGATACTCACAAAATTGAGAGAAAGATAACATGTCGTTTCGAAAGCGTAATGTTGTCATTGGGGCCCCAGGAGCTTCCTCGCCCATTCCTCGACAGGAGAGGTCTCTTTCTCTAGGAACAAGACCGTCACCATTGGATGGTCGATTGACGACATCTACAGGCACACAATCCTTGGACCAACTCTTGTCGGGCCACGCCGGAATGCCCATGGGAACTTCTCTACTGATCGAAGAGACTGGAACAACAGATTTCGGGGGTGTGCTGTTGCGATACTACGCTGCTGAAGGGCTTGTGCAGGGACACCAAGTACATCTTTTAGGTTTTGGTGATGCTTGGAGGAGAGAACTTCCTGGGCTTGGCAACCCTGAGAGCTCTAAGAAGACTAAATCGACTGCATCCTCTGAAGACAAGATGAAAATCGCTTGGCGTTATGAGACACTTGGACAACGAAACATTCCTGCTAGAGGTATAGCCCCCCACGATTCTACACACCTTCTCTAAGTCAGTGCTAACGAGCCTGTCCAGATACTCAAGGATCAGCAAACCCTACCCAGACACCAAACACCTTTTGTCATGGTTTCGACCTGACCAAGCGTCTTGAGAACAGTGCTATCAAGGGTCACTTACATGCGATGCCAGTAGAAGGCCCCTTGGCTTCTCCCACACATACACCATTCCAGAAGTTTGTCACCGAGGTCACTTCCAAGATTAAAAACTCACCCCCATCCACCATTCATCGGATTGTTGTGCCCAGTCTTCTCTCGCCTACACTTTACAACTCTGCCGCCAGTCAACCTAGAGAGATCCTCAAGTTTCTTCATGGTTTGAGGGCACTCCTGCGCCAGTTTCCAGCTCAAGTCACAGCTTTTGTAACGATTCCAGTCACACTGTTTCCACGTTCGACAGGATTGACTCGATGGGTGGAGCTTTTATCTGACGGGGTTCTTGAATTAATTCCTTTGCAACATCAAGGTCCAGTTGTTCGGGAACCTGGCAGTGAGGATAAGGGACAGGGACTTCTCCGTGCCCACAGCTTACCGGTATTCCACGAGAAGGGCGGCGGACTGGAGGGTACCTGGAACCGAGAGAACCTCTCTTTCAAGCTAAGCAGTTCCAACGGGCTGGTAATAACACCCTTCAGTCTTCCACCGATTGGCGACGACGAAGAGCCGACCAAAGCAGCCAAACCGAACGAGCCCAAGAAGGAGACACTGGACTTTTAGGACAACAATGAAACAGCTATCTCCTGTTCTGTCCAATTGCAGTTCAGTCTGCTTTGGACTGGGGGTCCATAATGTCTTGTTCGTGACCTAGGAAAGCAGTGGAAGATCCTCTCTTCTCTTCTCTTATCTTATCACCTCCCTCAGCTTGGCCCCACCTGACTAAAATTTTCAACACTCATAAAGGCTCCAAGCTCCAAACCTTTCCTCTCTTTTTTCTTCTGATCAACAACAACCATCTAAAAGGTAAGCTAACAATCTTCATTCTCTTATTATCCCGCCTCCCATTTTGGACACAATGATTATAAACCTATTAATCTGTCAATCCCCTGATTTTCTGTGACGACACACAATAAAATTACGAAGACGACTTATGATGTTCCTTCTGTTGCCTCAATTTGACTTGCAAACTCAAGTTTGAGCGTTTGCTAACTCGCATTCTCTCTAGATCCTATGGCTTCTTCGGAGTCTCCTTCAGTTCGGATATCCAAGATCGCTGGACGATATCTCGTCTTCGACTCTGAAGCCGTTGGCTTCTTGCGTCGGAGCCAGAACATCAATGGTAGTCTCACTGGAACGGCGCCTCAGCAACCAACTCAGAATATTTTTCTTGGTTTGCCCATCGAACTCCGCCCGGAAGAAGTTGAAGCGCTGTTACAGAAGAAGGTGGCTTATCTAGTAGACGACGTAGCTGCTCATCAAGCCGTGCTCCAGAATCCCAGTACGGAAGCAAGAAGGCTGTATCTTGATTCGCTTAAAACAAGAAAGCAGACAGCTCAACACGTTTTTGCTGAAAAGAATGCCAAGAGGGCTGCCGAATCGGCTGAAAAGCATAAGAAGACTCGCCAGCGTGCACCCCCTAGCAATACAGACGAGGGTGCTATCTCTGCAAGTGACACGCCTGAACCGAATATACATCAACAGGAATCTGCTATCAAAACAATGGGCGTCACCCCAACGTCCAGTGGACCTTTAATTTCATCCGAGGCTGAACGAATTTATCGAGCCACTAACCCAGCACAAGGTCCACTGTGTGGTTTCCTTCTCACTTCTGGTTACTATATGACACCCGGCCTACGGTTTGGTGCTAAGTACAGCGTTTATCCTGGCGATCCTCTCCGATTCCACGCTCATTTCATGGCAAACCAATACGAGTGGGATGAAGAGATCCCCGTGTTGGATATCGTAGCAGGAGGCCGACTCGCTACAGCTGTGAAGAAGGCGTACCTCATCGGAGCACAGCAGCCACAGATGACTGAGTCGGCTCATGATCAAAAGATGAGAACCTTTAGTATTGAATGGGCAGCTATGTAAAATGTTATAATATACTAAATGCTGAGACAACGTGTCCTAAACAGATGGTCGCTTCATCTGCGACTGAAAACTCCACGATTGTGATACAAATATGCTAGCAACTCAAGAATGACCAGGAATCTCATATCTGCTAAGTAGCAGAAAGGTTGTCCCACGGTAGCTCAGGGTGCCAAAATCAAGTAGCCTAATACTAGTCTAAGCTCACACAAAACGACTAAATAATTCCATCTCGTATGTCCTCAGCAGGCATGTCGTAAGTATGTGTAAATGCCTAAGGAACAAATACACGACTGAAGCTGACGACCTCGCGACGACAGCAAACGCACTTATCAAAGTTGTTCATAGCAAGAGAGACGCGACAATCATCGCAGAGACTCAGACAGCGACAAGGCCAGACAATGATTGTTCTGGGTGAGCTTTGACATACCACGCATTGTGGTCCTCCGCTACCGAGCCCCGATCCTCCGTCCTCCCACGACGTCTCTGCATATCGTGCTGCCGAAGCCTGCCGTCGTGACAACAATAGCTGTTCCAAGAGACGCTCCTCTTCATCCAAGTCTAATTTGTTACGACGGCTCGGTTGTGCAAGGTCAGCTTTCGGCTGCAGTAGACTGGATCCCGGTGCTGTGAGGACGCGAGTGCGTTGTAGTTGCTCCATTCGCTTGTATTTGGCCCGTGTCATGATGCCATCGCTTTGAAGATGGGCGGCCAATGTCAAGGCCTCCTCGCGCTCTTCAGGATTCGTGGGGTGAAGAAGACGTGCTAGGTCGGATATCTGCATGGGAGTGTCCTGAAAAGGGGTGCTCTCATGGGTCATTTGAGGAGATCGCTGGGTGGGTGTTCGTTGACCATCGTCATTCCCATCATCCGATTCCCAATTCTGATAGTCATCAATTCCATCGCCAGTCGTCGACAGTGAGATCACGCTTGTGGTATCAAAGTCGTCGTCCGAAAGTGGCTCGAAATCACCGCTTGTATCAGTGGAACCCCACCATCCGTTCTTGACCCAGTATTTATACAACTCTTTGTCAAAACTCTCCTCGTCCTGAACACTGCGTATACGCCTGAATTCCGCCTCTATGTCAGACGAAGTCTCCCTCGGGATGGATCCGTCGCTATATAAAGATGGACCACCAGGTAGCGTTTGGCCCAGGGCTGAGGCTTTGTTTTTGCTCTTTGCTTTGGTTTCCGTGCTTTTTCGGTGCTGCGCGAGCCATAGGAGCCAGGCGGGCTGATATCTAATTCGAAGGACCGCAAGACACCATAGTAGCGATTTGGCGCCAATCCTTGCAACAAGCTTGTTGATGCTCAGCAGAAAGTCAAGCGCCATGAGCCAGCGCGAACTCCTTTCAGACGCCCCGATGCCCGCGCGGAGGTTGCGCTCACCGCGACCTTTTGGAATCTTCTGAGCAGCGCGTTCGCGGGCGTATCCATTGGAAGCAATTGTTGGCCCTCCCTTTACTGGAATCAGACCGATCGCGCCGATCTGATCATATCGTGAATCGGGCAAGCCACCAACAATTAGCTTCCTTTGCAGTTCTTCAGCCTCTTTGAAACGCTCCTCTTCCAGCCAGGTGCGTCGTTTGAGACTGACTCCTTTATCCTCATTCAAATAAACAGCTTCACTGGCCATAGTTATGGCACCGAATCCGGTGCGAAGTAAAGCCGTGTAGAAGTCCATTTCTCGAGTGATTCGGATTGACGAGAGGGAGACGTTCGCTTGCATATTTTCATGAGCATGAATCAGACGTTGATGAAAAGACATGGATGCCATATCCGACGTCGAAGGCGGGGATAAAGTCGAAAGCAACAAAGCCAGTCCATATATAAGCAGGCATACGCCGATGCCGAATAGAACAAGAACATGGGGTACGAAACCAATAATGCAAACGGTCGGAAATCGTAGCAGGCTCTGGGAAGATGGATGATCGAGATCAAAGGATATAGCTGCCCACACAATGCTAGCCATGAAGCAGAGACCCCAAAACCCAGTGCTAATCAAACGATACTTGGCTTGCAAGTTGAAGACCCCCAGAACGTGGCTCGTGATATGCGTCATCGAGGATAGGAAGGCCACAAGCAGCACCTCCGGTGAGGTGTTCACCCTCTTCAGCACCATGGATCGAGTCAAAGCTATAGCGTTCCCGAGTCCAGACGCTGAAGTGCCTATTGAAGTAGTCTTGGTAAATAAGTTCCAGCCAAGCTGATTGCTGATAGCAGCGTCGGCCTCGGCGAAAGCGAGCGATTGTTCAAAAAGGGTCATGCCTGTCTCAGGAGCTACTGGACGACCCTGCACAGCACACGAGACAGTCTCGAGGAACTGGCTCAGACATAATGTTCCGAACAAAGGCCAGAGAAGAGACAGGGATCCAGCTAAATTACGAGCAGAGCCAGATGCATCCGAAGGTATCATACGCACAGCCATGCAAGACTCCTCATCGGAAGCGGAGAACAGTAGGACAGAGCACAGGGAATTAAGGAAAGGATTATTGTGCGCGAACATGAGATCGGAGCTCTTACTCGCGTTGCCCCATCGTAATTCGGCAAAATCGGATGAGGTCTGACATTGAATGGATTGAAGCAACTGGCGCGCCTGGATGACAAGCAAAGCGATGGGAACAGCGCGCAGCAACAGTCTCGTCGGCCATCGGAGTCGCAGTCGCCGGCGAGTAGCAGCGAATATATGTGTTCGGTTCAAGATGACGGCCATGGCAATGCAGCATAAAGCCCACTTGCTTGTGGCATAGCCAAAGACACTGCCCAAACTACGGACACTGTCGACAGGCACACGTCCTCCCATGGGCAGGGTGGTCGCTGTATCAGTGCCGGCTGTCTCTAACCCACCGGTCCCCAAGACAGGTTCCATGATGTTTTGTATAGTTGGACCAGCCTCGGCAAGTATGGCGCTAGCACCAGCTGCCGCTGGCAAGTAACTTGAAGTATCTGTGTTTGAAGTCGTTTCGAGGTGATCGGGGAGGGATATCAACGAGCCGAGCCTTTTGACAAATCGCGGACCAGCCCGAGCAAGGTCATCTAATATAGGTGCATAGCGTGTCCAGGCCGCAGGAATGTACCACGAACCAAGCACGCTTGTCGTATTCCCAGCTGTGCTTGTAAAGGCCGTAAGGGGGGATGCTGCAGATATGACTTCTTTGGACATGGCCTCAGGGGCACTCTGAGTTCACATAAAGTGACTGTATTCCCGTCCGTTGTGATGCTCAAGTTTGGTTTGACTCTATCGAACGCGAAATCGTCGGAGGCGACAGAGAAGGAAACGTGAAGGTCAAAGACGTGGGTCGCACGAGTCGGATGGTGAGTTTTACTACAATGGCGAGTTGCTGCCGATTTTGGTCGAGGACATTGTGGTAAAGCGCCCCGTCACTAATGGTGGTTTGTAGGTCTGACCGTGATGTTGATGCGACAAGACATCAGGCACTGTCGTTGCTACTTACTAGTAGGTATCGATAGCGGATGGAAGGCTTCTATGTTGACCTCAACAGGAGATACGTAGGTGCAGTCAAGTTAAAGGTGGAGTCAGGCCTTGGTCTTGCGGAGTAGGAACTGGCTAGCTGGTCGAGACTTGCATGAGCAAGGTGACTAGATGATTTTGTCTTCTGTGAAAACCTGGCGGAGTAAAAGACAGGGTAACCTAGCACGGCTATGGACCTTACGAGCGTTAGCGCGCTTTGGAGGACCCACTGCACCGTTCATATCGGCCTCATCATGGGCACAGTGTCGTTTCGACGCAAAGAAGTACCTTCCTCAGTCTTGGAGTGGAGTCGTGCAACAGACCCCGGTAATAACGGAAAGTGGGGGGGGGGGGGGGG